CCTTCCTCATGGTCATGGTGTTGAGCGCCAGCCTTGCCACAGGCTTGTGCCAGAACGGCGTCTTTGCATATGTATCGGGCTTTGGAAGAGAGGAATATACCCAAGGAATCATGTCTGGTCAAGGCATTGCCGGTGTCTTGCCTTCCATCACCCAGATCATATCGGTTCTGTCTGTACCTAAGAAGCAGCATACCGACGGAGCGCCGCAAGAGTCTAGCACCTCTGCTTTCATTTACTTCTTGACCGCCACGGCTGTCTCCGCTGCAACATTGGTAGCCTTCTTCTACCTCCTCTCCAGGGCTAGCTCAAAGCAGCGCATGTCGCTAGCATCGTACGACCAAGGACCCGAATACGGTCCAACCCACAACGAGCGCAAGAGTGTGCCACTGACGAGGATGCTCAAGAAGCTCTTCTGGCTCGCCGGCGCCGTCTTCATCACCTTCGCAATTACCATGTTCTTCCCTGTCTTTACGCCACAAGTACTAAGCGTACGCGATCCAGCAACGGCTCCTCGCCTTTTCCAACCAGCAACTTTTATCCCCCTAGGCTTCTTTTTCTGGAACCTTGGTGACCTCATGGGTCGAGTGGGACCCGCTCTACCTGCCCTTCGTCTTACGCATCGTCCACGCCTCTTGTTCTTCCTGTCTATCGCGCGTGTACTCTTCATACCCTTGTACTTCCTCTGCAACATTGGTGGGAAAGGCGCCGCCGTCAACTCTGATTTCTTCTATCTCTTCATTGTACAGCTACTCTTTGGCATAACAAATGGCTACTTGGGTAGCAGCTGCATGATGGGTTTCGCTGAGTGGGTTGAACCAGAAGAACTTGAGGCAGCAGGAAGCTTCATGTCGCTATCTTTAGTTGGTGGCCTTACTACGGGAAGCTTCCTCAGTTTCTTCGCAGCACAGTCCTCGTGATCTGGGGTACTTCTGATAGCATGGTCTCTCCACGCGACCAGCATCAGCGGTCTCATTGGTAGCCAGAGACGTGTATAAAAGAGTTCATGGGCAATACAGAGTCCCTCTTCTCATCTCTATCATTTTCCACGAAAGACAATGGCTACACAAATCATCTACGTAGTTCTCAGATTCCAGCTTCACCTCCGTACTGCTCAGCAGGTTAAGGAGAGTGGGAAACGTACGAGACCCCGATTCAGCTGGGCGGAGAAAATTCGGTATAGCCAGAGTTTCGCCCAGCCTGAAGATCGAGACAGCACGTACGATGAAGTGGAAGTGCAAGCTGCAGACGGCGCATGGTGGAAGACAAAGATAGTCCACAGCAAGTCTTGCGAGGAAGACGTGCGAATCTCTGGCCACAACCCCGTCAAGGACGTCGCTCAGCAGCTCCTGGTTGACGAAGCGAAGAAGCATATAGACGGGTTCAGGGCAACCGGTATCAAAGTGATAGGAGCTCCAAAGTCTCTTTGGGATGTTTCGAAGCTAAATGATCACATGATGGATAGCGCTTTTTACGTTGTTCATCAGCCGACAACGCTTGATGATGGGACTACGAGTGTCATGACTAGGTACTGGTGGCAAGTTTTTGCTGTTAATTTTGGGAACTAGGATAAACTAGGGACATATATGGATCAAGCCTAGGTGGCAGCGGGTAGTAGCACAAATTAAGGCATGCTCTCACGCAACCGTGCTAGTTTGTTAGCAAAAAGGGTCACTCTACACAAAGCTTGTCCATCGCGAGGCCTAAGTCATATTACAAGTACATTTATCTCATATCCCAAGCCTTTTGTCAAGAAGTTGCACAATATCCGAAATGGCTGTCAACTCCGTCTACCTGGTCATCCATTCCCACTCACGTTCCCAAGACAACCCCTCATTCCGCGTCGCCTCCGCCGAACTACCTAAAATCCCTTCTCAGTGGACCGGCCACGATCACATCAACTATAAATACCCTAGTATTGGCGTTACCATGTCCGGTACCACGCTCGCAGAAAAATGGTACATTGAACTAGAATACTCCAAAAATTCGGAGCAATATGTCGAGATTGTCGCGTGGTTCAATGATTTAGAAGCGGCGGACAAGAAGCTGGCTGATTGCGTGTTGCAAGGCTGTAATCCCAATACGGACACGCACGAAGAAGGAAACGTGGAGAAGAAGAAGGTAAACGCGACTTGGACGGATCCCTTGGACGGCAACACAACGGCATTCTACCGCATCGATTCAAGGCAGGAAAACCTCGACGGGACATTCTCGCAAGCAATGCGATCTCACTGGTGGGAAGTAATACGCGTCGATCTCGAACAGCCAGACGTATACAGCGCGAAATGGAACGAGAAAGATCGGTCATCCTACCTGGAGACTTCGGAAAGGATCAACTCTCTTCTGACTCTAAAAAGGGGTCAGGGGCTGAGCGAGCAGGAAGTGGAGGAGTTGGACGGGCTACAGAAGGGATTGGGTTGGGTGGGTGTCAAGAGGGTTAAGTCGCACGATTATACTGGTGGGTATGTCAAGCGGAGCGAGGAGGACAGCGATGGAGTTAAGGAGTACCTCGAGAACGAGAACGTGCAGTACAGTAGTGAGGATGAGGAGGATCTGAGGGTGAGGAAGCTGGAACCAGGCTATGGGAAGCTGGACGTGGAGGATCGTGAGGTCTTGGGGGACAATGTATGGGGCGACAAGTTGTAGTCGCACAAACGCTGCGAGAATCTGTCCGTTTTTGTTGCATTCAAGTCTTTTTGGATTATTGATACATGGGCGTGCTCTTTACAAAGCACCCAGTTCCTTCAACTTGCTAATCATGCCATCTACGTCGTCAACCTTTACACCACCCTTCCGTGGTGGTGGCTCGGTGACCTTTACTGTCTTCAATCTGATCTCCGTGTCCAGCCCATAGTCGCTCAGACTCTTCTTGTCCAGCTTCTTCTTCTTCGCCTTCATGATGTTGGGTAAACTAGCGTATCGGGGTTCGTTGAGGCGCAGATCCGTGGTGATGACCATGGGAAGTTTGGCTTTGATTGTTTGCACACCACCGTCGACTTCTTGTACGACTTCGACGGTTTGATCGTTGATTGTGACTTTGGAGGCTTGTGTTGCTTGCGGCCAGTTGAGGAGGCCTGCGAGCATTTGTCCTGTTTGGCCGGCGTCGTCGTCGATGGCTTGCTTGCCTAGGATTACAAGATTGCTCTTTTGCTCGTCTACTACTTTCCGTAGAAGCTTCGCGACGCCCAGTGGTTCCAGGGCGTCCTTCTCTTCTACGACTACGTGTATGCCTCGGTCTGCGCCCATGGCCATGGCTGTGCGGAGGATGTCTTGGGATTTGGGGACGCCGGCGGAGAAGGCGACGATCTCTTCTACGTTGGGGGCATTCGCGTGGTGGGCCTTCTTTTCGCGCATGCGGACGGCTTCTTCGATGGAGAGTTCGTCGAAGGGATTCATCGAGTGCTTGACGTTTGCGGTTTCTACGGCGGTTTGGGCGCGGTTCACGCGGGGTTTGACCTGATCGTGGTGTCAGTGTCATTCGCTGTTGAGACAGACGTCTTGAGTGCCATCATCCTCGGAGCCATTCTTTCAAGCCTCCAAGTCGAACATGCATGCGCCATGTTCATGTGTTGGTGTAATGGACGTACCGCATAGTCAATGACCCGCTTGACGGGCACTAATATCCTCAGTCCTGACATTGTGTGTTTGTTTCCTCCTCAGCACCGGGCAGCGTAATGTTTCGGGGGTATCACCGGTAATGATGTAGAAGAACCAGGGTGGGGGATAGCATCGGAGCTGCTTCTTGCGTTCGCGCTGCTTAGCCGAGGCTTTTTCCGATGTCCGCGGCGGCCTTGGCGGGGCGATATCGTCTGATCAGGAAGCGCCACTCCTGCGCAACTTGAACTGTGTAATTTAATACATGATTTTTCAGTATACTTCGCAGAGCTGGTGGAACTTACTTTCGTGGATATCTCCCATGTCTTCATATTTGCGGAAGAATAAGCCCATCAGACATGCTGGCAGCTTACTTCCCTGCTTGATTGTTCACGATGCCGGATCATGTGTGGCTTGCCCCTTCGTTTGATGAGCTGAGGATTGCTCAGCGCCTATTTATGTTCTTATAAGCAGACTCCATCTACTGCTCTCCAATTCTCCAGTTCCAGACCATCTTTTTCATCCATAGTCAAAGTTACATTGGCAAGGGCTTCGCACATGATGCTCAATATTCTTGTCATTACACTAGCAGGAGATACATCCACTCCATTCGGTATATCAGATAAGATTGAGCCTCGTCTGATACAACGAGCAGCGGTCCACGAGTCCCGCACGGTAAAGGACGCTATCGACTGCCTCAGTACAGACTGGCCAAATGCTATTCTAGTCCAAAGCAATCACATCCTGGAGAACGAAGAACCGAGCACCACGCTACGTAATCACTTGATCGAACGAACCAGAAACGGCTGTACTACAATATTCACGGGATACTTCCATTGGCCAATGTATAGAGTGGACGCTTTCGAGGCTCTCTTCAAGGACGGTTTCGGGCTTCAGTGGGAGTCAGTAAGAAGTGAGAACGTAATTACTGATCTTGTACAAAACGATCCTGGTTTGCTGCGTACCACGGTCCTCTCCCCAATAATCCAGAATCAAGACCTCCTCCTCCGAGGCGTACCTAAAGAACAGGCCGTATACCGTGCTCGACAACAGCCGGAACGTCTCGCTTCAGTAGCCTTTGCAGCAGTAGGCTCAGGAAAGTTGGGTTTTATAGGATGTGGGGGTGACGAAGTGGACAGACTGGTCTTGGCTATGTGTGGATTAGACCGTCCCACAGATGCTCCTGGGAACTCTTTCAAGAGTTTCCACGGAGACCATTGACTTTACAGGTGTACTCACGATCCTTCTACGTCGGTTTCTGGATTCGAATGAAGATACGTAGATTACATATTCAAGAGTTACCCAAGCCCTCGGCAAACTGTTGACAACTTGCACAGAACCCAAAGGTTCTAGCGGCGTTATACTCCCAACACTGCTGTGCGTAGTCGGGTGTGGTCGTCCCACAGCCATCACCTAATAACACGCAGTCGTACCCATTGCTGAATGCATCAGTCAGGGTTCCACCCACGCACTGGTCGGTATTGACACCTGTGAAGAACAAGGTCCTAATACCCTCTTTATCCAGAAACTCTTTGAGGGGTGTCGTAGCACCCCACATCCCGCTCATCCTGTTCTTATGGATCCAGACGTCAGGCCTACTCTCCAACTTGCTGCCTTCGACATACATGGCATCAAATGGAGGGTAGAGCGCTGCGTTCCAAGAATCGCGCATGAGTAATTTACCCCCCTCTACGGTTTTCCCGTCTGGAAACTTGAGCATCCCGCAGTCAGCACCGATACCACGGTAGAAAGACTGGTTTTCTTTGCCATGTCGATCCATGCTCACGCTTCCTTCTTGGTGTCCAAAAGCGTCGTCGGCTTTGAAATCTGCATCTTCCGGAATGGAGAAGAAGCCAAACGCGCGTTTCACAGCTGGCGGCATCTCTTTGGCTTCTTCCTCCGTAAGCCCCCAATTTACCCATACGACTCTGATGCCAGCCTTGCGTGCAGCTGGGATAGCGTACTTGACCAACTGTTCGCAGGCAATGTGACCAGGACCTTTTTGACCGCGGCCGAAAGCTTCGGAGAGAAAGAAGTTTTGCATGTCAATGATGACAAGGGCCGATTTCGAAGGATCGATTGTGATGGCATCAGCTCGTGTCTGGATGGTGTGTGTGGGCCCGATAGTTGGTGACGAGTGCGTAGAGGGATGAGTGAGGTCAAAGCCATTCTTGGTAGAGTGCGACCAGAAGTTTGAAGGTGATCCTATCAAGGCTTTTCGATGACTGTTGAGAGGGATAATAGACGACATGATTGTGAGAACAGATGTTATGCTAGATTGAAGTGATCAAAGATCGATTTTTGATGGTAGATTGTGCTTAATGTCTTCATGAAGATGCAGAATGGTATGTGTTAAGTAGATAGATGATCATACTGGCGATGAATATAAGTCTTCAAGCAGTCATCGGATGCTGTGGCCACTATCAGAGTGCCAGATAAGGAAGGCCATTAGCTCACCTGCCGAGGTGGGGTAGGCCGGGGTAGATCCGGAGATAGTCGTTTTGTCGAGGATATGACCAAGATGTCTTTCAACACACATATGTATGTCTAATGCGTAGTACGAGATCGATCTGGGGTGGAGATCGTTTGCGCAGAATCAGCGAACAGTTGCGTAATTGTCTGATAGACACTTCAGATGAATGTAGCTTCTGAAACGATACCAGGCTGCGCGTATGAGCGCGGCGAACACGCATGATACACTGGAAGAGAATGGAGTATACAGGCCATGGTCTCCTACTGGTTGTATTGGCTGTTACCGGGTTCCCGCAAGCCGCAACCTCGCAACTTGCACAAGCTGTGGTGCCTCTTCTTTGTAAAGGGCCGCGCTGTCAGAGTCGACTATCATACGCAAATAATTCCTGTGTTCTTCTTCATGACCAATAGACTTGTGATACTCCGCAAGTTGTAACATGGAAGGTTTGTGTCCAACGACAGACGCCACATGTAACCACTCTCGCGCAAGCTTCGCGGCGCTTCCGCGTCTCCAGGTCAGTAACCAGTTGAGCGCATGTCGTATGCTACCATTTTCTAAAACAGACGAGTTCGATGCTGCCACTTCTTGATAGAAGCCAGTGAGGTCCAGTATGGCTTGTCTGTGACCGGATGCTGCTGCTTTGCTCGTATACCGCAACCACTTTTCGCTTGTTTTCGGCTCATAGGCTGCGAGTTCGTAGTATGAAAGCGGATCATCACCTTCGAGAGCGCCTTTCTGGAAATATGACTGGGCTTCTGCCTGTACTTTCGGATCTTTGTCTGCCTTGAGTAGATAACCGAGCGCATTCCAGGGTGCTATAAGGGGAAATTGCATCGCATGCGTTAATGGCCTTCCAGTTTGATCATTAAGAGTTGAAGGCTTGATGGCTTCTTGGTATGCTTTTATGGCCTCTTGCTTCTGTCCTGCTTGCTCAAGGAAGAGTCCTCTTAGAGTCAAAACTTCAACTACTAGAGTTGGAGTCTTTTCCAAGGTCTGCAAGTCAATCGTGTCGAGCAGCTGGCGGTATTGGGCGATATCTTTCTGTGGAAAGAGCCTTGCAATCTCTTGAGCGGGCTGGTTGCCCAAACTGCCAAGGTAGACGACAGTCAGGATGTGTACGATCGCGAGAGGATCCCCAGCTTGCGCACATCCTTGCAGAAGCATAACAGCGACTTCTTTGTGCTGACTAGGAGGCAGTCGAGCTCTTATCTCTGGATTGCTGAGATCGGGTACTTTGAATGTGGCCATCGCAAGAGATGTAATATCAATCAATCGGAGGTTGTATTCTGCTCATGTCAGTGCCATCTATAGAGGGGAGTATGGGCCGCGAACCTACTCTCGACTATCCGCAAAACGTTGTCGCTATGGGAAGTTGTTTTCGTTTTCGCAACGAAGTCATTGTAGATGCTCAGAGCCGTACGCGGCTCGATATTGAGTACGCTTTGTTGCTTGCATATGGTGTAGAAGCCCAGTCGAGCGCGAGTATCAACATCAACACGTGCCTTTGGATCCAATTTTCGGTTGATGGAATAATTCTGGGTTCGCATGCCTGTTGCAAGCCAATGCGAGGCCATCGGATATCTCGTAGCATTGTAGCGGATGGCTAGAGTTGTTTGACGCGATCGGCACGACAAACATGGCTCTAGGCGCGCGACTGCGCTTGCTGAGCGTAATACTGCGCGAGGAGTCAACATAGTTACGAGATGACTGCTCGATAGTTGGTGAATGGCGATACGGTGATCCTTGGAATTCACCAGGCCCGCTAGTCTCGGGGGTCCGCAATGGCCGCGAAATCTTGGCACGCCAGAATCTTTTCCACATCGCGCGATCCACCAACGCAGCAACGACAAGAACAGTCGCGGTTCGCACACGACGCGTATCAACCCACAGCAACGAAGACGCAATGGTCACTACACGAGGCGGAACAGAGACGCCAGGCGCACCGACACCGACGCCGCGCAGCTCGACAAGGAAAGCCGCAGGAAAGCGAGAACTCGAGTCGCTAGAGACGCCGACACAAACGAAAAGGCAGAGGAAGTCTGCGCCCACGTCGTCCTCCAAGAAGAGATCTGCCAAGCAGACCGCCGATTCGGATGCGCCTTCACAAGGACTTTCGCAAGAGTCCGTAGAAGATGTCTCGGACACAATCGCTGTCGCCGCGGCGCCTGCGACCCAAGACCCTCAGACGCCGACACAGGATGGATTTCTGCCACTCCGACGCCGATCGAGCCCCCACGTTGTAGTCAGCAGGAAGTCGCCGGATGATTCGACGGCCACGGACAGCTTCGGTGAAGGCAGGGAAGAGGCGCCGGCAACTTCACAAAATCCGTCCTTTTACACACCAGCGCAGCAGCCTGGTTCAGGCTCAGGCTCAGTATACGCGACGCCCGCCACAACATTTAAGCAACCTGAGGGATCACCTACACCCAAGGCTAAGACGGGAGATGGCCAGACGCTAGCACCAGGCTCAGCCAAGAGAGGCAGAGGCCGCCCGAAGAAGGTTGTAGAGACGCCGTCCAAGTTCCCCGACGAGATTCCAACGTCCTCGTACGAGAGCAGCACAGCTCCTATACCCTCGCAAGGCGACGCGCCTCCTTCAGCACAACCTGAAAAGACGCATAGACGCTTTGGTAGCGAGGAGCCTGCCGAGTCGCAAGATTCGCCCGTTGCGATCAAGCAAGGCCACAAGCGATATGAAGCTTCTCAGCCCATCGAGTCACTACCCCCAACGCAAACAAGCCAAGTCGACCAGGACGAAGCAAGCGATTCGGACGACGAAGCCCCCGAGGTAGTCACCACAGCTGCTGCAAGCTCGAAAGCACGAGCTACACAAGCCGAAGCCGATCGCGCGCAGAAAGCTCAGCAAGCAAAGGAACAGGCCAAGCGACAAGCGCGCGAAGAACTCGTTGCCGCCCAGCAAGCTGCAAAGCGCGAGCGTGAGGAGAAGAAGGCGAAGAAACTGGCAAAGAAAGCTGCCAAGGAAGCAAAGGCTGCCGCCGGCCCCCTCGACAAAGAGCCAGAAGTTGCGTCGCGCATGGACATCGACGTATCCAACGGTCTCCTGCCCGCTTCCCTCCTCGAGACCATCGACGACCAGCGCCCTCCCACGCCACCGCCCCAGCGCCGCGGAAAGACAGAGGAGGAACTTAGAAAGGAGAAGCTCAACCACCACATCAAGTTTCTGGAGCGCGTCGACAAGCCAGCGAAGGATGTGAAGAAGGGCAAGCTCAGCGTAGCGGTATTGGCACAGCAGAACCGGGTGCTGCCGCCCAAGGTCAACAGGAATACAAAGAACGTACGTGAACACTGGTTGAAGGGGCGTGAAATGGACAAGAAGGCAGGGAGACCCGGCGTTAGATTCGGAAAGAAGATGGAGAGGAGGCCGCATGGTAACCGGGGTTTCTTGAGGAATGGAGAGTAGATAATAGCACAGTGCCAGTCGGACTTGTGCAGTATGACGCAAAAGATATCCATTGCCATGTTGACGTTTATGCCTTTTACGATGGGCTTTGCCGCCCACTGTGTTGCCCACTTTCATGCCTGCTATGCCATCTACCGCCGTCCAGGCCTCTTCGGCTTCGCAAATCCCTTGCTCTCCTCCTTCTTCTCCACCTTGAACTCGTCCAGGATAACCTGCTCAGTAATCTCATCCGGATCCGTCGCCTCAATCTTCTTCTCCACCTTGAGCCCACCATCGTTCTGCGCCAGACTGACCACATTGCCCCTACTCGCTGCATACAGCATCCTCTCCCTGATCTTCGCTCCGCTCGGACACGTCGAGATGAACACGATACTCGCAGCAGCGTCATCATGACGGTAGAACGAGTACCGCGGCTCCTTAGCATCGATAGCCTGTGAGAGAGTCGAAGGCGTCGCTGATGAAGAAGACACAAGCTGAAGCGTCTCCGACGCGCCGTCCATGCGCAATTGCACAAGATTATCCGTTCCACCCTGTCCCAACTTCTTCAACGCCCCGCCAATCTCATCATCAGCCCGAATAGCGATTCTGCCTCCTTGGGCCAGACCCTGGCCGCGTGTGCCTCTGCTCTCCAGGGCTTCAGCGTCCTTGATGTCCTGCAGCGATTGTTCCTCCGCTGTCAGCGGGTTATCAGACGCTGTATGTGCAATGTGTTTCTCCCAGCCTTCCGGCGTGAGCTCTGATGCTTCGGTCGTGAAGACACTCTCGCTGAAATGCTCTCCGCCTAGTTCGCGCACGAGTGTGAGGCGCGTGGATGCGAAGAGCATTTTCTGGCGTACCGGCGCGGCATTGGGTACGTATGTTACGGCTACGAGAGATTTGTCGGGCGAGGAGAGCGAGTCGGCGCGGCGCAGGAGAATGTAGAGTGCGGCATTGGGCTGGATGTGGGATTGAAGATTGGAGAGGTCGGCGAGGAAAGTCGATGCTGACGAGGATATGGTGTCGCTAGGGATGATGGTTTCGTTTTGGATTGTGGCTAGGATTCCGCGTTGCGAGCTTGAGGTTATGAGGCTGCCGACGGCGGATTTGAGCTCCTGGGCAGCTATGGGGGTTGTTAGTGGGGTGCGAGGTTGGAACGCGCTGGAAGATCGTTACCGGAGATACCAGACTGCATCTTGGCAAGTCTCTACTGCACTATATTCTGTGGTTGTCGGGACACTCAAAGAAAAGGCTGCAATGTTGTTGAATGCATTGATTTCAACGTGTACACTGACGTCGAACCAGCGGTGATGATGTACTATAGTGGGGCAGGTGGGCTGGACGGCCGATGCACCTTGGCAGCCCTGCTTCTATCATGCAGTCTGGTTCCTGAGTGGCGTTTCTGAAATCCATTTGTTGTTGTATTTCACATGAATTACAGGCTTCCACATGCTTGGAAATCAACCTATGCTTATCGAATGGCGCTCTTCAACGGACTGTGAAACACAATGCAAGCTCACTCCTCATATGCCCCACCAGGGAGCATCTCTCTGCCTTTCTCCAACACACCCTTCAGATATTCGTACACGGTAAATGTGACAGCTTGACCGGGGGCTACTCGCATCACACGCGGTGTGATACCCTTGTAGAAACTGCGGATACCTTCTTGCTTCCACATGTCGCTGTGAATTGTCAGCTAACACTCGGAAGTTGGTTGCGCTCGAGAACTTACTTTCCGATGTTTACTATCCTTTGAATGGCAGTTTGGCCTGCCTCCGCGGGCGTCTTCTGCAACCTCGTCTTGATGGTGTCGATCGGCGCGTTCGTAAAAGGACCAACAGCACCACTAATCAGACCGATCAAACTCGTCTCGTAGCCCGGCAAATCCGTTGTGCCATGGTACTTCTGTAACTGTGCCCTGAGTTCCGAGTACGCAGTGAAGTTTGCCGCTTGGTTTGTTCCCTGACGCAAGGCTGTGAGCGAGACACCACGCCATAATGCGCCTGCACCTTCTTCCTTGATGACGGTATACATGGCATGCGCGGCGTTTCGGTACTTGGGTATATCGAGCGGATCGGCCATCGAGTGGTGCTGCGCTTGAAGACGGATCTTGACGACCTCCATGGGTGTGACGACGAGAACGGCCTCCGTAACACCAGCGGCAAGACCAGCTGTAAAGTGTTAGTATTCGGTCATTCTTGAGTAGACTATGTTCCGAAAAGATGCGCCTTGCGATTCCGCGAGCTTCAAACTTACCCATGAATGTAGACTTTGACGCGACATTGCCCTCTTTGTCCGCTAACATCTGCTTATACCACTCATAACTTGTGAAGCGTATGGCCATCTTCGGGACGATGCCTGTGAGAACGGCGCCTAATCCCTTATATAGGCCTAATGCTGTCTCTCTCTTCACGATCTCAGTTCCGGTCGTAATAAACCCGCGCTTCTTTGCCTGTAATGTACACCAGTCAGTGACGTTCTGGATAGTATATGCCGACCGCTTCGAAAGCATAATTTGGTACGTACTCCTGGAGCGCGAGCTCGTCTCGACAGTTGCATGCGGACTTTGATCGTATCTGATATCCAGTTAGACTTGATGCGCAGATAACGTAGGCTTGGGGACTTGTAACTCACCGAGAGGATGACACGCAAGTGCCTCCATCATTCCAGCACCGCCACCGGCTTCATGTCGCGTCAGTATCCTGCCATCGCGGTCGCATACCCTCCAAATTCACAACTTGAGGCTTACCGATCAAGTTTGTAGCCGCCGACGCGGGCTTCTTGCCGCCAGGCCCTTGTACTGATTTCGCAGACATGTTGTGTAGAGTTGGAGCGCAAGTGTCCAGGAAGG